GCTAATAAGGTAACAATTATCAGGGCCTCTGTTGAAAGATTCAGGTTATTACAACACGCCAATCTGAAGGCCAGGGGTCAGAGAGTGAGAGGCGAGCGAAATTTCAACTCAAATTAACATTCTGTCAGCTCCAGAAAATGGGATAAATAAAGTCGAATTAATTCATTATAATAAAGAGAGATGGGCGAGGGAGCCCGGCCGGCGCCCGCCCCTCCCCTGCCCTCCTCTCGGGCCGAATTGATTACAGCTCTGTATTCAGAAACACGCGCCGCGCGCATTCCTGGCGGCGAACCGACAGTGAGCGAGGCGCTATGGCTACGGGCAAAACCGAGTCGGATGGACAGAGTTTACATTTAGTATTTATAGGGAAAGAAATTAAATTATGGCGAAAAGTAGTGCTCTTGGCCCCTGACCTCCGCATTAATATTTGCAGCGTTTTCCTAGTGCGACAGGAGGGGGGAGAGAGGGGTTAAGACCCCCCAATTCCAGGCCCCTTTTCCCTCTCGGCGAGGTTTCGGGCCTGCCCCGCGTCCCTGCGCCTCTCGCCGTCCGGAGCAAGGGCGGAGGGCAGGGTGGTTAAGTCGCTGGCCCTGTGAGGCGGTACATCCAGTTCGGCCTCTCGCCAGCGCGCGTGTCCAGCGCCCGGTCCTCCAGGAAGCCGGCGCAGGGGTCGGGGGTGGGGGCCTCGCCCCCGCAGGCCCTCGCCTCCTGTCCACCCGGTGGTTGTGTGCAGACCTCCACGGGCACGCACACGGGAGCAAAGGTGCGGACACAAGACCTGGCACAGGACCGGCGCAGCGCGCAGACGCACAGCCCCGGCCTGCCCTTCCCCTTGGCTCCCGGCTCGCGGCTGGGCAGCCTGGCCCAAGCCACTTACACCAAAGGCCACCTTGCCTGTCGCTTTGCCCTGAGGTGAGAGGCCGCCGGCCGCGGAGCTCCAGGACCGGCCGGGTCACAGGCTCAGGAGCCCCTTCTGCCTGCCTGAGGGCCGGCTGCAGCACGAGGCAACCTTCCCACTGACAAACTTTTTTTTTTTTTTTTTTACAAAGGCTGTTTTATAGAAAGATACATGTATCTTTCCCTTCTGCCCACAGTCCTAATTTGCTGCTTATTTAAGAATATATCCTTTAATGATTCAGCTCAGAGTCTATCATTATTATACAGTGGGGAAGGGAGTGACACTTCTCTGGGAACATAATTTAATTATAACAAATGGGTTGGGTGCCCTGGCCCTATTCTTCAGAGGCTGAGTCAAAGGGAGATACATTTATTTTTTCCCTTGTGTGTGTAGGGGGCCTGACTGGCCGCCACCCCAAACTACTTTCCCCTTCTCCTCGCCTCCTCCTTTCTCTGCCCCAGGCCGGGTTTTACCCGGGTAGGGGGTACGGGGTGGGGTGGGGTGTCAGGGTGCCTCCCCGGCCACCCTCACCTCTGCCTCTGTAGAGAGGGCTGCTGCCAATCAATCAGAGAGGGCATTAATTACGCCTCTTTTATTGACGGGGCTGCCTCCTTAGGAGCCGTCTCTTTCGGAGTCACCTCCTCCCCCGCTCCGGCCTGCGCCTCCTCCTCTCCCCCGCCGCCTGGAGCCGGAGAGGAGATGAGAAACCCTTGTAGTTTTAAATTCAATGTGACAGTTTCGGAAAGAGCGGATGATGAATCTCCTATTATTGGATCAGTCTATTTGCCGCTCAATGTCTCTCTGTAATTGGAGCAACATCACTTTAAAGGTTCAGAGAGTACAGCATTTCTGGTGAAAAATCCCCACAACACGCCGGTGAATGTTTTAAAGGGAAATCTATTAGTGATTTGCGGAGGGGCGGGGGCCGGCGGCGGGGGGCGGCGCGGGCGGGGGCCGGCGGGCCGGGGGTGGGGGGCGCGCCGGGGGCCCGCGCCGGGCCGCGCCCCGCCCGCCCTCCGCCGTCTTGTTGTGACAGTTCCTGATACTGTTTATTGAGGTGCATGTCAGGTATAATTAGCAATCGATATGGAAAACGGCTCCGTGCGCCCAGCACGCCTCTGACGTCAGAGCCGATTAGCGCTTCTTATTGGTCCCAAATTCCCCGGGCCGCGGCTAATTACCGGGAGCTTGATGTTGATAAAGTAAAGCGCCGGAGTGCGGGCGAAGCATGTGTAGGACTCCGGGTCCCTGTCTCCGCCGCCGCCGTCCGCGCCTCCCGCCGCTGGCCCGCCCCGGCCCCGGCCCGCGCCCCCGCGCCCCGCCGCCGGCCCCGCCGGCCTCCCGCGCGAGATGATGGACGGCCGCCTCCTGGAGCACCCGCATGCCCAGTTCGGGGGCTCGCTGGGCGGCGTGGTGGGCTTCCCCTACCCGCTGGGCCACCACCACGTGTACGAGCTGGCCGGCCACCAGCTGCAGTCAGCCGCCGCCGCGGCTGCCGCCGCCTCGGTGCCGTTCTCCATCGACGGCCTGCTCAGCGGCTCGTGCGCCGCCGCCGCCGCCTCGGTGGTCAACCCCACGCCGCTGCTGCCGGCCGCCTGCGGGGTGGGCGGCGACAGCCAGCCCTTCAAGCTGTCAGGTAGGCGCGGCGGGCGGGGAGGGGGCGGCAGGGGGCAGGGGACCCCGTCCGGCGAAGGAGTGGCTCGCGGGCGGCCGTGGGACTGGCACCGCGGCCGCCGCTCCGGGGCCGCCTCGCTCGCCGCCCTCCGCCGGCTCAGGGCGCACGGCAGCCCTGTCCGCTCGGCGGCCCCTCCTGGACAGAAGCGGGTGGCGGCCGCGCTCCGGCCGGGCCGGGGGCTGAGCCGCGCGGCGTCCTGTGCGTGCCCGCAGACTCGGGGGACCCGGACAAGGAGAGCCCGGGCTGCAAGCGGCGGCGCACCCGCACCAACTTCACCGGCTGGCAGCTGGAGGAGCTGGAGAAGGCGTTCAATGAGAGCCACTACCCCGACGTGTTCATGCGTGAGGCTCTGGCGCTGCGCCTGGATCTGGTCGAGTCCCGAGTTCAGGTAAAGACCCGCCGTGCGCCCTGCGAGCCGGCATGCCGCTGGCGGCCCGCGCGGCCCGGCCCGCCTTTGTTCTCGACCTCCAGGTGGGAGACCGCAGGCTCCGCCGGAGCCCGCCGCTCGCTCGCCGGCTGGAAGCTGGGGGCCGGGGGCTCGGCGCCCCGCGGAGAGGGAGGCGGGCTTCCCGGGAGGGAGCCGAGGCGGCTCGGGAGGGGCCGGAAAACGGCAGCTGCGTCCGAAACGGGGAGATGCGTGAAGATGGGGTCCGGCGACCGCGCGACACGAGGCTGGGGCGGGCGAGGTGGCCAGGAGGACCCGGCCCGGCTCGGACTTGGAGGAGACCGGGAGAAGGCAGGCTTGACGCATCCGTGCCGGGGCTGGGGACTCGGCCCCCAGCCTGCGGCTAGCGCGTTTGTTTACTTTCGTCTCTGAAATATTCACATGGAAACATTTATCGCTTTGCAGAAGGGGGCAGCTGAGGTGGAAACTTAAACACTTAAAACACGGGGGGGGGGGGCGGGGGGGAGGTGGGGAGGGTGTCTAAATCTTTAACACCATCGGTTATATCTTTTTTCCTTCCTGTAATTTTATTTTCTTCCGAGACTGTCGGAGGTATTCTTTTTAAAAATACAGTGTCGATTTGGTGCGTTGAAAATTCAAGATGAATCGTGCATAATTAGATGTTTCCCTGAAGTACAGACATCTTTTTTAGGTCGGTGTGGTGCGGAGGGATGTGGGCCGCAGCTGTGGGCACCGGACTTGGAGGCGCCTGTTTAGCCCCAATAGCTTTGTTTAAAAAGGTGTCCTCTCCTGCGCCGGGGCCTCCCTGCTTGACCTCTTCTGTTTGTAAACCCTTTTATCCAATTTGTTCTAAGTGTCTTAAGTGAAGTCAAGACTTCTTCATTCCTCCTTTAACGTGGCAATGATTAATTATGGGTAACGAGGCAGACCAGAATTTACACCTCTACCCCCCCAAAGAAAAAGATATTTAAAAAGAGAGAAAGGGTAACAGCAGTCCTGGGGAGGTTACCACTTAACACACAGAACCTTGGCATTGAAAAGGCTACCTGTGACCACGCTGGCCTGCTATTGTGCGGGTCTCTACACAGCCGGGAACAAAGAATTCTAATTACCGCAATCTTATGGGAGGGTCGTGTGCCGGGGCTCCTCGGGATCTCTCTGGTGCTGGAGCCAGGGTCTAGGGCTGCTGCCAGCCTGCAGACCCTGGGGCTCCCAGGAGGAGGCTTGCGGAGAGGGTGAAGGTGTGGGTGGGTCCTGGCTGCTCCTCTGCAAGGCCTGGCAGCTGGCCTCCTGGTCTCCTGACCGCCAGTCCCCTGGTCCTGGCCAAGTACAGCCGGTTCCAGAGGGCTGTGTTGGTGCTTGTGCCCTGGCCTGGAGCTTTCAGAAAAACCAGGTGGGGGAAAGCAGGCTGCTGAAGCTCTCCCTCCCAAGTTCAGCCCCCCAGGCCCTTCTGGGAGAAGAAGCACCCAGATTTCCCTTCATGGGAAACCCCCAAATCTGGGCTTTGACTCAGTCCCCAGGGAGCTGAAAACAGGTGTGGAGGGCAGCTGAGCCCTGCCGCTCCTGGTCCTCAGGCCAGACGCTCAGCGTTGGGCCAGTCGGGCTGCTTAGAACCCAAGCTGTGAGAAGCGAGGAGGGGCCCTGCCCTCTGCCTCCCAACCAGGAACCCAGCGCCCTCAGTCAGGGGCCAGACCGGTCCTGCCCAATGAAGGGGCAGCTCCCAGTTCCCTGAGGTGAGAAGCTGGAGCGGGAAGCCGGCAAGAGGCCCCGTCGGCCTCCTTCTGGGTGGAAAAGATACACCTGCAGCCTGATGCCGAGATCCGGCTCAGGGCCGGCTGGGCCGCGTGGCTCGGCTCCCGCCCCCTGGCTGGAGCCGAGGCTGTGCAGGCCTGTCGGTGGGGAGTGGGGAGCCCCGAAGCCCCCCGCCGCCTGACCGTGCTCCCTTCCTCTCCCCTATCCGGCTGGTCTAGGTCTGGTTCCAAAACCGCCGCGCCAAGTGGAGGAAGAAGGAGAACACCAAGAAGGGCCCGGGGCGGCCCGCGCACAACTCCCACCCGACCACGTGCAGTGGCGAGCCGATGGACCCGGAGGAGATCGCGCGCAAGGAGCTGGAGAAGATGGAGAAGAAGAAGCGCAAGCACGAGAAAAAGCTACTCAAGAGCCAGAGCCGCCACCTGCACTCACCCGGCGGCCTGTCCCTGCACAGCGCGCCCAGCTCCGACAGCGACAGCGGCGGCGGCGGCCTGTCCCCGGAACCGCCCGAGCCGCCACCATCCGCCGCCGCGGCCAAGGGCCCCGGCGCGCACAGCGCTGGCGCCGCCTGTGCAGCGCCCGCACCGCCTGGCGAGCCGCCTGCGCCCGGCACCTGCGACCCCGCCTTTTTCCCGAGCCAAAGAAGTGGCGCTGGCCCGCAGCCACGGCTAGGCCGCCCCGTGGACAAGGACGTGGCCCCATGTGCACCGGGGGTGGTGGCGGCTGAGCGCGGGGCCGCGGGCCCGCCCAAGGCCAGCCCGTTCAGCGTGGAGAGCCTGCTGTCCGACTCGCCGCCGCGCCGGAAAGCGCCCCCAGCCAACGCGGCTGCCGCAGGGCTGGACTTCACACCCGGGCTGCCATGCGCGCCGAGGACCCTCATCGGCAAGGGCCACTTTCTGCTCTATCCCATCACGCAGCCGCTCGGCTTCCTGGTGCCGCAGGCCGCGCTCAAGGGAGGCGCGAGCCCTGAGCCCGCGCCCAAGGATGCGCCTCCCGCGCCCTCCGTGCCGCCCGCTCCGCCTGCCCAGGCTAGCTTCGGGGCCTTCCAGGGGCCCGGCGGCGCTCCGGACTCGGCCTTCGCGCGCCGCAGCCCCGACACTGTCGCCTCCCCGGGGACCCCGACCCCGGCGCCTTTCCGGGACGCCGCGGCCTCGGCCGAGGGCGGCGGTGGGGACTGCGCGGATGCGGGCACTGCCTGCCCAGCAGCCCCGCCGCCGCTCGCGCCGTCGCCCGGGCCTGGCTTGCAGGCTCCCAGCCCCGCTGCAGAGCCAGCCGTCGGCGGGGCCCCCGAGCCAGGCGCCTCGACCGGACCCAGCGCGCGGGATGGCGAGGAGGTGGACATGGACTGAGGGCGCAGCGGGCCGGGGAGGCGCTCAGCCGGCCGGCGCCAGCTCGCTCAGGCTCCGACTCACAGCGAAATCAGGTGATCGGCTTCGAAACACTGCTCTTTTCCTCTTTCTTCCGTTTCCTTCCTTTTATTTTTATTATTATTATTTTTTTTTTTTTTAAGAAAAACGCTGTTATCAGTTCGGACGTAGGCAGCAACACAGGACTGGGGGGTTGAGATCCTCCTCCTCTCAAGGGAGCACACACACACAAAAAAAGAAAAAAAAAGCCCCACCCCCCACAGAACCCACAACGAGAATCCTCAGCCTCGTAAAATGCAAAAATGTCTAAGAATATTTATATATGTACCATTTTTGATAAATAAAGCTGGTCAAACGCAAGCTCTCCGGTCCACTTTTTTCCAACCTCCGAGTGCCCAGCCCGGCCTGTGCCCCGCCCCGCCTTCCTCTTCTCTCCCCGAGGGTGGGTCTAGGCTCCTCACCTCCCCCGAGATCCGCGCTTAACGCCTCCTTTTGTGTGCGTGTGTGTTTGTGTTTTCTGATTGAACAAATTTATGCACCCACAGCTCCCCTCTCCTGCCCTCCCCCGCACCCCCCTTCCTCCCGGGCGCCACACGCGCGCGCGCCCCCGCGCACTGGCACGCGCGCGGGGTGACGGAGCCGGGGGCTGCAAGGGCCGGGCCGCTGGGCTCCTGCGGAGTTTTGATATGAAAGTAATTATTTTCCGGTGGCTGCTGCGGGGACTGGGTTTCTTGCCCAAAGGGTTATTATACATTACCGATTTCTAGTGATATGAAATCACATAAACTTCCTACAATAATAGAATTAGCATGAAAGGCTGGGGTGTCAAATTGAAATTGGAGAATAATAGCGCCGGCAGCTGGGGGAGTGCGTGCGCATATTGGAGCGGAGATGGGGAATCGTGGGGCGGAATTTTCATGAGCTGCACTCTTTGTCAGCGCTCTTGTAGCCGGCTATATTAAGATAGATGCCCAATGATATCCCTCATTGTTCTGTCGCTTATATTGATGTTGCTGCGTTATCAACCTATTGATCATGTGTCGCCTGTAATAGGACAGGCGCCGCCAACGCGCCTCTTTACAAAAGCAGTGCACATTTGTTCTAATAGGGTCCGGGTCCCCGGGGGACCCTTCGGGGGCTTCAGGACATCTGCAGCGAAGAAATATTAGCAAACTTGGCTGGAGCCTGCAGCCAGCCCCCAGCCCCCTCCCCTGCCTGCAGCCGCCCCACCCTGAAGTGAACTGCCATGAATCCTGCGTCTCCCCCCTGCCCCCCCAACTCCGCAAAATCCCAACCCACCCTCCTCAATTTTTCTGGGCCCTGGGTCCTTGGTGCCTCAAAAGCCACCAATTCCCCAAGAAATTGGGATCCCAATTATTAAAACCATTAATTCCAGCGAGGC